AGGACATCATCAGTAAAGCCCCAGACAGTCTGTGTATGTGAAGCGCTCCTGTCTGATCCAGAGAACCACAACACTGAACCCAGAGCACCGAGTGTGAGTGCGGGATTCAGCTGCGTATGCGTATGAGCGTGCAGGTGAGCAGGTGAGCAGACCCCGCCGCGGTGTGAGCTGATGTTGGAGTTGTAGATTGTGCTAAATGTGCTCTTGCAGTAAGCTCAATCTCTGGTAGTGTGGATAGTGAACTTCAAGAAGCCCAGTGCAGTCTTGGTGAGCACACGGTTCTGTTCCCTGTAGTTTGGTTCCTGATTAACCTCGCTCAGAGAGTGAGCTGAAGCCTGCTGCTCTTCTGCTTCTGCATGCCGTGAGAAAGAGCTGGAAGAGCTCCTGTATGAAGTCATGCTAAAGCCAAACCATGCTAATGTGTATTTCAGGAAGGCAGAAACAGCTGCATCACAGCGCCAGCCTCAATCCAGACCCACAGCAGATCCACCCGCACAGAGCACACAGCACTCCTGCAGCTCTCCGTCAGCACCGACCCAGCTCACGGTCAACACTAACACTGTCAAACTCAACACTGCTGCAGGACCTTTATGATGGTTTATGAATCTTTGTTGGATTTTAGGCTAGCAGTGAGTTACAGCTATTAGCAACACTGAAGCACAGCTTCAGGGATAAGCTAACCCTGAGACAGACTAACCCTGAGGTAAAGTAATCCTGGAATTAACCAACCCTGTGGTAAACTATCTTTTGACTAACCCTGAGATAAAGTAATGCTGGGTTGAACTAACCCTGAGATAAATTAACCATGGGGTAAACTATATTTTAACTAATCCTGAGATAGCCTAACCCTGGGATAAGCTAACCCTGACATAGACTAACGCTGGGTTAAACAAACAATGAGATAAATTAACCTTGAGATAAACCAAACCTGAGAAAAATGAACCCAGGGTTAAACTTACCATGGGGTAAACTATCTTTTAACTAACCCTGAAATAGATTAATCCTGAGATAAACTAACCCTGGCATAAACTAACCCTGAAATCAACTTACGCTGGGTTAAACTAACCCTGAGATAGACTAACCCTGACATAGATTAACCCTGAAATAAACTAACGCTGGGTTAAACTAACCCTGAGATAAACTACACCTGAGATAAATTAACCCTGGGTTAAACTAACCATGGACTAAACTAACACTGGGTTTAACTAACACTGTGTTTAACTAACCCTGCGATAGACAAACTCTGAGCTAGACTAACCTTAGCAAAAACTAACCCTGACATAGACTAACCCTGAGATAAACTAACGCTGGTTAAACTAACCCTGAGGTAAACTAACCCAGAGCCTGTCAGGTTGTGCTGCTGGTGATCTGTCCATCCTCAAGCTCAGAAGTGTGTTGACTCGATGGTGAACTCCTGCACTCCACCACACACACACACACACACACACACACACACACACACACACACGTCTTCCAGCGGTCAGAGCAGGGTTTGGTGTACGCTCTGGGCTTGGAGAAGTGCTGAGTGTGATCCTGCATGGCTGAGTTTGACTGCAGGCCTCAGAAAACAAAGAGTCTTTCAGAGTGTTTGGGAGAGTAACAGTATCTGCGCTCAGACCAGCCGAGCGTTCAGCCGCCGAGTCTCAGATCATCTCGAGATGCTCATTAAAGAGTTCTGCTCCTTCAGCTCTGTCATTAGTCTGCTTCACATAAACACACCCAACAGACGGAGACGAATATCTGCAGGCGACGCTGGGAATCTGAACACAACAGCGGGAATGACCCAAACTGACAATATCTGTAGACCGAGATCTGAATCTGAACAAGAGGAGCTGAGGACTGCAGACGCACAGCTCCAGATGAGAGACAATACTAACCCTGCGCAGAGAAACTGAGCTGCTGCTTTACTACTCATCTGTCTGTGAGCTGCACACACACACACACACACACACACACACACACACAGACACACACACACACACACACACACACACACACACATACACACACACACACACACACACACACACACTCTACATTCACAACCAAGAACAAACAGCTTTAAAGCAGGAGCGAGTAAAGCCGAACACTCACCAGAACAGGGCTCAGTTCCTCCTCAGAGCTGCTCCGCTGTGATCTGCAGTCTGCCTCCACGTCTCCTCATCAGTCAACCAGCATAGTTTCTCCTGGGCGAGCGTCCAAGCAGACGCAGAAGCCGTCTATTTCTGTCTGCCATATGAGCGCAGGCTTGTGCTTTTCAAGACATTCTGTGGTCACAGATGTAATTGCGGAGTGACCGGCGATGCTGAAATGTAATTGTAGACTTCATGGGCCCGGCCCTGCTGCCAGCGGAGGACTTTAAACTCCCTAAAAACAACTCAGTCACATAAATAAATGTGGGCCTGGAATCCAGATGTGGAGGGAGAGAGAGGCAGCAGACGCCGGGAAAACAGTGAGGAGAGCCAGGGAAAGAAAACTTCAGGGCTGTTCATGTGACGAGGGCTGTTTTTTAGAGGAGTCTCAGCAGAGGGAGGTGCGGGAGGAGCCGTCTGGGCTGCTTATTCCTCCACTTTCACCATCAAGCGCTCAGAGTGTCTGATTTCAGCTCTGGAAAAATCAGCCTGTGAAAACAGAAATGTGCTGAGGAAGGCAGAGCGCGGCCGCCTGAACCGTTTACCTGCTCAATCTGAGCCTGAAGATGGAGAAGCTTGATCTGCTTCTGGTGCGGAACAGCCCAGACGGGCCGACGTGCAGAAGCAGAGCCGCGCTGGCCGGCAGGAGTTCTGTTCAGCTCAATGACTAACAGCTGTTGGCTATTAGAGGAACATCACTGAGGCTTCATGAAGCAGCCAAAGCGGAAAAACAGAGCCGATTTCAGGCCCGCCGCGATCTTTCCATGCCGATACCGCAAGAGTTCAGCCGCCACAGCTCACTTCATCCAAATGGATCGCACGGAGGCCGTGGAAAGCCCAGGAAAACACTCATGGAAGATGAGTTTGACTGAATAATGGCTGCAATTTCAGGTTGTGTAATGCTCAGAGTGACCTGTGCTGCAGTTAGACACACACACACACACACACACACACACACACACCGCTCCCTCCGCCTCCAGCTCAATAGAGAAACTGATGAACAGCAGACGTGTCCGGCTCCACGCTTCTGGACCAGTGCTGGGCCGCAGCGCCAGAATCAGGGAAAACCAGTTCATTTCTGAGCTGTGGTTTGGGTTAGTCTGAGTGACCCTTATTCAGCCTGTCATCTTCTTTTCAGCTCAGTCCCTTTATTAATCAGGGGTCGCCACAGTGCAATGAACCACCAACTATTCCAGCATATGTTTTACTCAGTGTATGCCCTTCCATCCGCAACCCATCTCCGGGAAACACCCATACGCTATGGATAATTTAGCCTGCCCATCTCCCCTATAGTGCCTGTGTTTGGACTGTGGGGGTCCCTCCAGGACTGAGTTTGGACAGGTCTGCTTCAGGGGGTCTCCGTGTTAGAAGAGTTTCAGTCAATCACAGCCTAAAGCAAAGAGCATTCACACTCATACTGGAGAATTCAGTGTATAGACTAATATCAAGGCTGAGCTGAAGATTCTGTGTTGGTTTGACAGCAGATTCTTCATCATCATCATCATCATCATCATCATCAGTGTGTCTGTGTGTGGGGGTCTCCGCGCCCCCTGCTGGATGGAGATGCCGCTGCAGTTTCCCCTAGTGAAAAATAAATATGCTTAGTATACTTGGATCCGGACTAATTGTCAGTATATTTTAAGTGTAATAATGATTAGTTTACTTAAAGTGTGACATTTTGGACATATTAGTTTTGTGCCAAGTATATTTTAATTGCAATAAAATTGCACTAAGGTACTATTTTAAGTGTATTTAGTGTACTTTTGTGTGCTAAATTGGAACAATTTTAAGTATATTTAGTACACTTTAAATAACATAACATGTATATTAATTTCATGCTTGCTTAGTGATATTAAAGTGTATTTTTTATGTATTACAAGTACATTAGAAATTAATTATGAGTGCATTTAAAACACACACACACACACACACACAATATACCATAAATATATCTGTTTTCTTTCTAAATATATGTTAAATGCAACTTTAATAAAAGTCAGATACACACAATGAACAAATTCAAACTGTTTTTATTAAAACATCAGAAGGGTTTAAATGTTTTACAGAATCATTAAAAACATATTTTTAGTCTATTAAAAACAGTAAAAATATTGCAGAAAATGTCCTTCAGTAGAAAACATGACAATTTAAGAACAGATCTTTTAAAATGACATGATATTGCAGAAAGTCCATGACTGTGCAAAGTCTGCTCATCTACTGTACTTCAACAAACAAGTGCACAACTAACATCAAATCTCACCATGTCCTTATAGTGGAGCCTTTCATTAAGGCCCAATTCTACACTTTAGAAGGGCTGATGCATTCACATGAAGATGTCCAGCGTCCCAATTCTCTTCATTGGCTTGGTGGTGTAGGGGTAAAGGGAAGGGCCACACAGCCCCTTCAAATGAAGATTTTTCACGACCGCACTACAAATGAAGAGGTATGAGAGTTTTCTCTGACTACACCTGCAACATGGATGTAAAAACCGAGCAAAGAGACCCACAAATGTAATATAAATGTGCATTAATAAGAATTTTTACTACAAATCTGCTGCTTTATTACATTCATAATGATGTCAATGTGTTACCTTCTAAAATGTCAGTAAGGATAGTCCCTTAATAACCACTGCAGAACATTACTCAGCACATTGTTTATTCTGATAACCCGATGACTGGCTCTGTCAGAAATGTCTGCTGGGAGTGAAATAGCTTTGTACAGCACATCTGGTATAATATACTGTTGTGTTTCAGTTCATTTATACAGAAGATTAGCGTCAACACTCACACAGTGCTTTACACTCAACTCCTATATGATTTATAAATGAATTAAAATCAGCTCACTGCATGCAGCTTGCAACCTACGCTAGTGATGACACAGCGATGCGAGCAATTGTTAGGGGGATATTTGCACCCCTATTCCCCATAACACTCTGCTTCAAGGGCCAAAGAGAAGGCAAAGGGACAGTGGTACAAAAAAGAATTGAGATTGGGCCTGAACCTCATCAATTTTGGATTTCTGTGGTGTTTGGAAATAATTTCCCAAAATTAGTTTATAAAGATGAAGAAAAAAGCCATAATATTTAAACTTGTGTAATATTCCAGCATGTCAGGCGGGATGAGAGTAGTGGTCAAATGGTAGTGTAGTTATAATTAAAAGTTTAATCAAAACTGATTCAGTTCAGTTTAATACAACTGTCACTGTTAAAGGAAGATCCATTCAGCTCTGATCAAGCAAGCCAGAGCGACAGTGGACAGAACCAAAACTCCACCGGTTGATGGAAATGAAGAACAAATGTTAAAGAAAACAGGCTCAGGGACCAATTCTCCTCTAGTCTAACATAAAGGGTAGAGCTGTGCTCTAAAAGACTCTAAGGGTTTGAGAATGATGAGTGTCCGTCGTGGAGAAGGTGCTGGTTTGAGTCGGTCACTGGCAGGTGTTCAGTATAGCCCATGCAATCAATGCAGACACTCGCCTGTCAGTCATGCTCTTGCCTCATCCATGATCAGCACAGCATCTGCTCTGCATACATTAGACATTTACAGCAGACAGCATGTCAGTGATGATAGCATGTCACATTTATAACATAAGACAAACATGTTTTTGTTTTTTTAAATAAAGGCAGATTAAAGACTAAAATTACTGTATAATAATGTAGAACAGCTTAACTGTATTATTATTAGCAATAATGCTATTTTTTTTATTCAGTACTCCCTGACATGTAGGCAGATAAAGGAAAAACAAAACAAATAATTTAACTAATTTAATTTAAAAGGTGATGATGTACAGAATATATGAGCTGGTTTACCTTGCCTGTGAGGGTCCAACATGTCCTTTAAGGATTCAATGGCAGACGTCTCTGTCTGTGTGTGTGTGTGTGTGTGTGTGTGTGTGTGTGTGTGTGTGTGTGTGTGTGTGTGTGTGTGTGTGTGTGTGTGTGTGTGTGTGTGTGTGTTTGCCGGAGTTGCTATGGAAAAAGAGAAACTCATGACTTTTTACCCTTTTATACATTTTGGGACAGTAACATGAGAATCAGCCAGAGAAATCAGGAACAAATGAGAAATAAGCTAAATTACTATCAATTATAATGTTTTACACAACACAAAGCATTCACTATGCAAATAAAGCTCATTAGGTGGTCAAGATTACACAAAAGGCAGCAAAAATAAACTGTTTATATATATTTATACAGTAATTCTTACATTTTTCTTGAGCTAAAACATGAGTTATCTAGAGAAATAAAGAAATACAGGTTTGTAACGAAGCGAGTAAAACAAATGTCAGATATGTACACGCCTGTATTTACTAATACACATTCATATAAAAAAAGATATAGAATTGTCAGATTGGATTCAATGATTATTTAAATTATTTTAACTAATTAATTGGGTAATTCACCTTAAAATGATCATGTAGTTAATTTCTCCCCCTCACATTATAAACAAACCTGCATATACAGTCCAGAATAAAGAGCTGTTATAACATTAACAGTAACGCTACCTGACGATAGTAAGAGAACACTTTCAGTCGGGTGGAAACAATGTTATACTGACGTTTTTACATAAAGTGAGAAAAAAAAGAGAGAGATTGAGGTAAATATCACACACTCACAAACATGTTTTGCATTGTACTTCATTTGTGCTGTGCAGTAGAAATTCCCCTCTTTTTAAACTATTTGCAATGACTTGTGTCTATTACACTCACCTGAATACTGAAGTTCACATTTGGTCTCAATCCAGCATAAGAGCTCTGGCCTCCAGCACATACACACAAAGTAAGTCTGCAACACACACATCGTATTAGAGATGACTGCTTGTGCTCCTATACACTCCTTATTTAACCCCCAAAACAAACCCTGAGGTACAATATTAAATGTAGACGTTACCTTCAGTTCCAGAGTGCAGAAGTGCATCTTCAGCATACATCACATTCAGACCAGATCCAGCTGTGAAATCCAGATCAGATCCCACGATCACTTGACCCTGCAAGAAATAAGACTGTTGTGTAATGTTGTAGTAAAGGAAAGACTGAGTTTGTGAATAATTCAATTGGTTTGTATAAATAAGTTGACATTCACATTCCATACACTGCCTATTAATATGGCTAATAAACACAAAAACTATATTAAAATAATCTGTGGCTAATATTTACTCAGCACTTGGTAGCCAACTAGCCGAGCTGTGGTTGTTTTTAACACCAGATTTGTTTAATGTAGGAACTATTGCAAGAAGAAAAAGAGTTTGTACATGAAACACATGTACAACAAATCTGTGAACAACTGGACAATAAAAATCTCATGACAATGAGGAAGACATCAACATTACCTTCAGGCCAGGGGTGGCATCACACTTTCAACATCCACGGCTGCAAAACCTGATGAATATAATAAGAGGTAAAATATACTCGACATTCAATCATCTAAATCTATAATACCACAATACCATCTGCATGAGTATAATATACACTCACTATAGCCATTATCTACACCTAAACCACACAAAAAAAAAAAAAAAATATATATATATATATATATATACACACTTAGTGACTCTATACAATAAGTTCTCATTAGTAAATGTTAGTAATGCATTAAAATTACCCCTAAGAAAGAGACAATTAACATGTACTATGCTAATGTTAGCTTAAAAATACATCCGAATGGGGTATATGCACACAGACTTTTAATTTTCAGCCGGTCAGCTTAAGCGCATCACTATAGAGGTGAAGGTGGTTTAATATTCACACATTCGGACTTTCCCCCTTAATAATATCATTTTATTAAAGTTTTATTTGCAAACTCTAAACAGCAAAATCATATTAGCAGCCAATGACTATCACAGTACAGCATTGTTCAGTCAAATAAACAGAGTTCATGTAGTTTTCCAGTCACACTTGCAGGCTAAATCCAATCGAATATTCAAAGTAAAATGGTGAACAATAAAGAGAGTTCTTCATGAACGAATGTGCGGATATAAAACCACCTTTACCTCAATCTGATCACTGCCAACAGAAAATCTGAATAATCTTAAAACACTCTTTAAATGCTAAATTATTCACTGTGTATTAACTACTGTTACAAAAACAACTGACCACTGTTATGATGTTAATTTACTTTGCATTTGCCATCATCTGACATTAACATTTATTGCTTGATGATGGTCATAACGTGAAGGCCGGCGTACCTTAACTGTATTCCACATGGTCACTTCAGTGTCGTGCTGAAACAGAGAGGGCAGGTAACACTAATTCAATTAAAGTGAAGAGAAATGTCTTGTTTTTATAATGACACTGACCCTAACTCATCCCTCATGGTCACGTAACGTTACCTCACCTTCACTTCAGTGTCGTGCTGAAATAGAGAGGGCAGGTAACAGAAAATCACCTTTCTTTTTTTCGGAAACTAACATTATGCTAAAAAAAGTCTAATAGTGTTTCCTCACAAGCACTAACGCTAACTTACAAAGCGCGGTCTGTTCATTTCTGGTTTAAAAATGGCGCTTAACCCGTCTGTTAATGTCATGGCATATGAACCTAACGTTACAACTAAAGCAAACTTACATGGTTAATTCTGTTAAATGACATGCACTGAACAGAAATATATACACAACAATCATTTAACTGAACTGGACATTTCAACTCTTACCGTGGATGAATCCGTTGAGTCGTTGACGGGTATTGGATATGGTTCAAATGAGGCGTGCTTGTTTCCAGTCGAGTCGAATCTGCTCAGTTTTATGAATCAGCTCCTTTAAATGAATAGTAAAGAGTCGAATCCGCCTGAAAATGATTCATTACTGTGTCGTTATACTGCTCGACCCCCGAGCAAACAGTTCAACTCCATTCACTGTCCCGGGAGTACCGTTGAACCAGCTGAACCAGTGCAAAAGCGATATCGTTTTAATCAATAGCTGATAGTTTTTGCTTTATTTATTAAGATTGTGTCATTTTAAATGAGTCAGTAGCGCAGATCCCTAACCTCCGGGTGTGTTTAACACGTCTTTGGTTTCATGAATCAATTATTTTTGTCACACTTTATTAAAAAAATAAGCACAAAATTAAGTTCATTGAAAATGTCATATTTACACGTTAGCTTATAAGATGTTGGTAGCCGAATTTAAAGATATGAAAAATATATTGTTTATATTTAGTGCCTGCTCTACTGCATCAATTTTTATGCAAAAATATAAAGAATTTGCAACTAATGTGCAAAACATAAAGCCCTTTGCTGCCAACCTTAATGTCACAATAAAACTTTGGGTTCAGTAAAGGGACACTAATGTAATTTACTGTGGAAAAGTACAGTAACGTTGTGAGTTTCTGGGAATTGTTTTAACAGTGTATGTTTGCACACTATTTACAAATGTTTTAAATGGGTAAATACACAGACAGACAGGCAGACAGACATGAACAAAATATACAACTTATTTAATAATGTGCTTTGAACATTCTTACAAGTAAATTTTCAAAACACAGTTAAAATAATACTAAAACATAACACCATAAAATGCTAGATAAATACACTTGTAAAAATAAACTAAGCATGTCATTAAAGTGCATTTTTCTGAAATATATTTTTAGAAAATATACTAAAATTATAGTTATTTTTAAATGTGTTAAAAGTTATATATAGAAGTATGGAAATACTACATTTTTAATATATTTAAATTAGGTATAATTTTAATTAGTATACTTTCAATGCACTATAGGAATAGAAAATATATTTGCAATACACTTTACTACACTTGTTTTTCACCAGGGTCTCCAGCTGGACTCCATTAACCAGTTAAACTCTGCTGTTATTTTAGGATTTCCGCCTGGATTTTGCCTACCCAAATTTAAAAGCTTCCCAAATCCACATGCAGAGGGGGAAATGCAAAAATTTGGTCTCATTTTAAAGAAAACCCTTTGAATTTTTATAAAACTCTATTGAAAGTGTTTAAAATATCTGTATGTGTCGTCTGTGTTATAATAAACAGCTGAAGAAAAGAGGCGCTTTTTGTATTTTTTTTTAATAAACTCAAATGTGAAAGTGTACCGTTTAGGTTGTGTGTGGTCGAGCGTGCTGTAATTAATGTTGCTGGCTCCTGCACATGTCTGTAATCATAGGAAAACAGAAGCATGTCTCCACCATAATCTGTGCAAGAGTTATTGTGCTCCAACTGATGAGAGAGTCACAGGGAGCGATCAGTGCTTTCATATTTCACTATTCTTGTGTTTAATCAAACATAATTCACTGTGTTTGGAGCACGTCAGACATATAAAAGCATTACTTCAGCACATCAGCTCAAAAACAGAGGAGAATGGCCCTGAAGCGCTCAGCATAAGGTGAGAGATGACGGCTGTCTGTGCTATCCGGGGCTGCTTATTGATCATGAATGTGTTGTTTTCACTTCTGCACCATGAAAACACCGAGATTCATTCAGCAACTGTTTGATATGTGAATATAATTCTGTAATAAGAACGCTAGAACAGTATGAGCACCGGCAAGAGCTTTCATTTGAGCTATAACTTATACACGTGTCATATAAAAAATATGAAAAATGAACCAATGTTCAACACCCAGAACACTGTTGTAGCCCTTCAGCACTCAATAAATAGGCAGAGAGTTTAACAGGTGCATTTAAAATAATTTACTTGGATGCAGTAAAGTTCATCACAGAAATCTTCATGCTTTTATACTCAAGTATAAACTCTCATCTTTACCAGGTTGCTGATCTCATACTTCTTTGCACATAACACCATAGTAGCATGTAGCACCAAAAGCAGCGTAAAACTAGAGAACAAACAAACAACATAGAACGATAAACTCAACAAACGCCTACAAAACATCTAACATTCTCCAAATAAATCAAATAATGAACACAACACACCTCGCTCTGCTTGCTGGAGGGATCCTGAAAGCTCAAGGCATCTTCTGAGCTGCACCTGTCCGCTCGTGAACACGCTGCACTGCTCTTACTCTGCTGTCTCACTTTCATCCTGTCAGTCTAGCTCGCCCTCCTGTGGTGACTCCAGTCATGGCAAGCAGAGCGAGGGCAGTAAATGATGGGCAGCGGAATGCTGGAACTGTGTGAGCTCCGGCAAGAGCTGTCAGTGAGCTGTAACGTGTACATCATGTGTCATATCAAAAACATAAAAATGAACCAATGTCCAACACCCAGCCCTGGTCTCCAGAATACTGTGTGTTTAAGTGTAAATAACTTTTGTACAGTAGAATAAACACTAAAGTGATGCAGATATGTGCATAAAATATAGATTCCACACTTTCAAACGAAACCTTTTACATCTGAGAGCGGTGCCGGAGTTTATCACTGGACTGAGCTGAGCTGAGATCTGCGGTGTGATGCAGGAGTTAATGCACTTTAACAGCACTCTGCCTGACCGCCGTGTGTGTAACTGGATTACAGTAACTGCTGTTATTGAGGGCTGATTGAATAGTCTGTCAGTGTGTTGTCGTCTCCTGCATTAATGCTCTTATCTCACACAGCAAACAGCAGACAGACCAGAGCTGCAGGAGGAGCTGCCGTCAGCTTATAGATCAGCGGCTCTGACCTGTTCACAAAGCAGATCTGAGATCAGTCCAAACACCATTCATCAGCACACACACACACACACACACACACACACACACACACACACACACACACACACACACACACACACACACACACACACACACACACACACACACACACACACACACACACACACACACACACAGATGAAGCAGAGACACTCGATATCCTCAACAAGCAGCTTTATTTGATAGAAAACCTGTCTTTAATGAAGCTCTGTGCAGCACACGGGCGGTCCTGACACCGCTGCTGGAGTGAGTGTGTGTGTGTGTGTG